TATATATATGCGTATTGATATCTACATATACACTTATCACATGAACAGAAATTCGGACAACTGCCCTTTTAAACACACGTGTACCTCGTTTTTCTGGTTCTCGCTGGCCATCTCCAGCTCATACTTACCGTCACAGACTATCGCAAGCTTCTTCCGAAATACTTCGACCTCACTACACATGTAATGTTATGATGCACTCATTACTTCTAGTAGTTATGTAGTGCAATGACGGACCCATTACTTCCATTACTATATCATGTAATCTAATGGAATGATCATTGTGCGCAGTCGTGAATGGGTCAGAGGAATAGGAGAAGGTGCATGGCGTGTCTCATTCAATATAAGTTGTGTATACGCGTCTGTTAAAATATGGGGTACATGCAGCCAAGAAACTGTACAAGTACGAGCATAACGTTCAGGGCGGGTGCAGTTTCGATCTCCTGTTTGCTGATTGATCTTTGCTTCTATATACGTCTACCGAGCCGACGTCAACGATAACTATATACACGCACCACTTGATAGACTCACACACGACCCTCACACATACGAACTCTGACGTGTGTGTAAGACTCGCCAAAGTGCGGAACACTTTGCAGTACACGAACTAATACAAAATAGAAATCCATAAGGAACTAGAAGTATCAGGGAGGAAAGGGGGGGGGGGTGGTTAGGTAATATAACCCAAATACAGTTGATAACACACAGATGGAAAACCAAACAAAAGGAACCTGAAGTGTCAGGGAGAGTTAGGGTTGATAACCGTTTATAACTCAAACACAGTTGATAACACACAGATGGAAAACCATATACAGATTACATTGACTTACCTCTTCAAGTGTTCGATCCTTTCACCCTCTGCCGCGGCCCAAGAACGCGCCGCTATTCGGGGCTGAGCGGTTGCTTCAGCCACTGCAGTGTATATCAACGAGAAGAGAGCAAACATACGGATGTATGTACTTGATTAATTTATATAGGTAGGTATACGTGTACATGTGTGTTGTGTGCTCGTGTATATAAGTACGTAAGTACATACATATGTATGTATGTATGTACGTATGTGCGTATGTATGTATGAATCAATGCCTGCGCGGATGCAAGGTTTGCGTGTTTGTACGTGTGTACTATTCAATTTGCGCTATAGCCAATTCAGTTGCCAGCCACGTATAAGAGTGATGCAGTTGTTCCCATGCCAACATGTATATGATTTATGGCATTAGAGTATCAGATGAAGAGATACGTTATAATACGTTATGATAATGGTAAGATCAACCAGTTGTACAAATACAATGTCATATATATATATA